TTGTTTTTAACACTTATATAAACAGGCTGAAATTTATGTATTATATATCAACATTTATCCTATTTTCATCCCCCATTCTTTTCACCCCAGTCCCAAGCCACCTCCTATGAGTAAGCATTACTATTAGTTTATTAGTTTCTTGTTTATAATTCCTGTGTTTCAAATATATATATATACATATATAGGAAGCCTTGTAAGCAATGAACACACCTAACAAATTTTCTCTCTAAATACCATTCTTCTCTAAAACAAACCCAAGTTACTTAGAAAGATGGCTTATTCCAGGACTGGCGCCAGAAAATACAAAGATGATGTGGGAAAATTTTACTGAGCCTGAAAATCAGGAAGTGCTCGACGAATCATGGGGACACAGCAGCCAGCTAAGAGGGGCTCCCAAATTCTTAATATGGAATAATTTGGGTTTCAAAAAGAATAGCAACAAACAAACAAACACATAGATAATGAGAACAGATTGGTGGTTACCAGAGGGGAAGGAAGCGGGTGAGAGTGAAATGGGTAAAGGGTCACATATGTATGGTGATGGATGGAAACTAGACTATTGGTGGTGAACATGGTGCAGTCTATAAAGAAACTGCTATATAATAATGTACACCTGAAATTTATACAATGTTATAAACCAATTTGACCTCAATAAAACAATTGAAAAAATCTCAACCCTAATGAATTATGACTCATAGATCAAATGAGAATCTATGAATCCATAATGATATAAATAAATTGGTAAAAAAATAGATGGTGGAGAAGGGAAACTTCTCTCTTACAGAGAACTAACACATGTAGAATTATTGATGGAATGAGAAAAATCACCATTTGGCCACCACAATTACAATAATTTTTTCAGGCAAGAGTCACCTGATTCTTATGAAGTATGATGTTATATATGGTGGTTGAAATTTTAAAGAGAAATAACATGTTTATATAACTGCAAAATATCTACTCAAGTTATAATTACTAATTTCAAAGATTAAAATAGTAACTTTAAAATAGATAAACCTGGGAGAGACCACCTTCATCTACTGACCAAGATTAGAATTGCTGGTAATTGGAAAAATTGATGTCAGCTGCCTTCCTATAATATGTACTGCAGTATACTGACCAAAGATCTATAGGCTGAGTCTGAGATATGTGCATACCTACATAATAATAAAGCAAACATGATTAAATACTAACTTTTGGGCAATGTGGGTGAAACATATATGAGAACTTTTGTATAATTTTTAGTTTTTTATAAATCTGAAATGACTTCTAAATAAAAAGTTAAAAAAAAATCCTTTGTCCATAATTACTCAGTAAGAGAGAACAGAATATCCTAAAGGTCTACCTCTAAATTTATAGTTGGCGTCCAGGCAGACAATTATGATCTTCTAAATTATTCTTCTTGTAGGTCCTGTCAGAGAACAAATATGAACTGCTGAACCATGGGCAGGGCACAGAAAGGTAATTCTATAAAATGTCATCCCTCCTCTTTAAGAGTTTACAGCGTCTAAAGTGAAACTGTAGAGGCAATTTTACACCAAGAAAAAAACCATGTCTGTAGAATAAAATGTATCAGCATATTTGCCATCCACAAATTAGCACACAAATGTGTTAACCAGAAAATGTTGTCTATACCAATGTGTGCTAGATAGTCTCCATTGGCCCCTCCACGTCCATTCTCTAGCTTTCTCCAGCCTGTTTTCTCTCAGGAGCCTTACTTTATGAACTGCATCAACTGGGTTCCCTGGCCCTTTGGATTTGACCAATGGAAACACAAGCAAGAGATCAAATGCAGAAGGAGAGAGAGGTTGGGGCATTTATTCTATTTTCCTCCCTGCGGAACCCTGGGTTGATGGTGACTGTCCACAGTCCTGTCCTGGGGTCCTCTCCTACCCCTACATGTCTCACCAGGTTCTCATAACCACTCCCTCCCCTTGTACCTGTTTCCCACTGCTGCTAACTCTGAGTGCTTCACTGTCCCTTAATAGTGTCCCTTAGAATGCCAACACCATTGTAAACAAGCTATTATGACATCTTTTTAATAAAAATTCCTTGTCCCAGCTGGAATCATGCCCAAGAACAAAGGCATTGCTGGCATCAGAAACACCATCCCCTGGGACTCCAATCCCCTCTAGCTCCTGGATATGCAGCTCCCCAAGGGCAGAAAGAAATTGGTCAATTAGCCTATGCTGGCTCCTCCCTGACCCAGAAGCTTGGGGACTTTGTTTCTATCCTCTTGCTGTTACTTAAAACTTTTTCTTTTTGCTCATTGCTCTGGAGTTGGTTAAGGAACATGAAAATCTGTAGAAGTGCTGAGGCCAGATATTTCTTCTTTTCATCTGGATACTGACTCCCCTGAACAGAAGATGAGGATTTGGGCAACAGTCTGGAACAGAAGGTCACCAACCAAGAGCACAGGTCAGACGGAGCTGGAAATCTGCACTTGATCGTGGGTCTACCCAAGAGTTTGTGGGCTTGTGTGCCTTTGTGTTCATGGGTGTGTGTGTATGTGCATCTGTGTGCATGCTTGTATTCATGTTGTTAGATAGTTGCATGTGTGTGTGTGGACTATGTATCTGACTCACAGCCTGATTCTTTTCCTAAGTTAGGCCCAATCTGGGCTCTGTTTCAGTGCACGTTACCAAAGTATAAGCCTCCTAAGGTGTGATTAGGGACCCCTGATTCAGGCCTCTCATCGTAAATATTTGCCTCCTGTTATTATGATGGGACATTTCCCCAACTGGGCAGCCATCACAGCTAAGCAAATGAGAGCTCAGCAGTGGGAATGAGATTGTTGTCTCCAATGCTGGAGAAGAAGATGCCTGACCTCACCAAAGAATTGAGATCACAGAGGGTTCAAACCTCTGCTCGGCAGCGTGTGCAAGCTGTGTTTGTGGGTGACACACTTGTGTGTGAGATCAAGCAAGTGTGTTTTTTGCTTTTTTTTGTGTGTGTGTTACCATATACATGTTACCACATTCATGGGTTGTTGGTGGTTTAATGACTGTGCCTGTAACTGAATAGGTTTTAACTGCCCCAGGATGACTGCCTTCCCCCAGGAAGGGTGTGGGTCAGAAGAGGCCAAAGCACTCCTCTCAGTAGTGGGAGCGTGTGTGCTCTTGTTGTAGTGAGTGTGTGGCTGGGTGTACATGTATGTTGTTGATATTTCTGTGGGATTTTTGCATTGTGTGGCCTTCTGTGTTTTTGATGGTGTGTGTATATAATGCTGTGTTATGTATATGTGGTTAATTGAGTGTTTAAGAGGGCGTGTCGTGTGTCAGGTGTGTTGATGTGCATTGTGAGTGTGTTTGCGGGTGAACGGTACATCGTTGTGTGTTGTGTATGTCTTACTTTGTGTGTTATTTTTGTCATGTGTATCTGTATATGAAGTTTATGAACTGATCCACATACTGGCTATCTTTCCCTTAGGATGGGAACTGGTCACAGGTGACTGGAATCCTCAAATCAGGAGGGTGTATGTGTGTTTGTGTGTGGTTTGTATGTGTTTGGGGGCTTCTGATTTTCCCCTGTGACTCAAATATTTCCTTCAGTGCCCTTCATCTGGACCACCGTTGGCTGAGATAACCCAAGTTCCAAGCAACTCCCTGTTTTTGAAATGGATCTGCTGTGATTTTCATATACCTGAGTGTGACTGAGTGAGTCAGAGTTTTTTAACCCTTCACTTAATTTCCCAGGCAGACACATGAGATGTTATCTTGTGTGAAGTGAGAGTACAGAACCCCCACTACTGACGATGTGACCTTGGGAAAATCACTTAACTTCTTGGTCTCAGTTTTCAATCTAAAAACTGAGGAAAATACACTTGCGTCATGAAACTTAGACCTCTCAATAAATATTTATTGTTTGAATAAATGATAATGAATGTGAGAGACTTTTGTCAATTGGAAAATAGATCAATAGATATGAAGGAAAATATCTAGGCATAGAACTAAGAACATTTTGAACTATTTTGGCTTCTCTGCAGCCCTAAAGCAACACAAGGTGTCTAGTGCTCCTAACCAATGATGGGGGAAGTTTCCATGTGTAGTGGTTGAGAGCACTGACTCTGATCACACAGTAATATTATGTTGAACTACAAGAAGTCAATATTTTACATTTTGTAACCTACAGAAAATGGTAATATGCATAATTTACATATTTACATATTAAATTAATATCATTTATGTTTCTATTTCATAAGAGCTAAAATAGGTGAAAACATTCATTCTCAGTGCAGCTGGAAAGATTTTTTAAAATCTGGGAATGTAAGGCTGATGTGTGGATTTAACTAGGAAGTGAAGGTAAAGTCCTTAGCCTAGTAGTTAAATGCTCACCATTCTTATGAAAGATACTCTGAGGACTATTCTGGTTTGGGAGCTATTCTTGGATCAAGCAGATTTAAATGACCACCCGCTTCTAGAGTGACCATGAGTTTACAGCAATAAGTCACTGGGACACAGCCAGATTCACAGGAGGAGTGTGACAATGCTCCTACAACACTGCCTCAGCACTCGAGTCTCACATTACTTTAAGGTAGAGACAACTCATACCAGTTTGCTGGGGATCATCTACTATTTCTGCCATGGTGAATTATTACAATTTGGCTCTGTCTTGTAGTGAGTTATGCCTCTATGCTCATCAAGATCTATACTCACAGAGGGCAGGGACCTTGCCTTTCTTGTTCACTGCTGCATTCTCATTTCTTAGTAGGGGTCCATGCTCAGCCTCAATGTTCTATAAATATTGGTTAAATAAACCATGAACATGCTTTTACTTCTGTGCAGTGAGGTCTTGTTGGTTGCTTTTAAGTGTGATGTTTTCCTGGAGGCAACTGAGATAGAGTGAAGAGGCATGCATCCATAGGCATGAGAAAGTAATGAGTGTATTTAAAAAGTTGTTGTTTTCCCTGAGAATTACCTTATGAGATGTGATGGTGCTGATCATCCTTTGTAGGTTCCTGAGATTCCCAAACCTTCTTCATCCCCAGCATATAGAAGAGCATTATGAGGCCTGAGAACCAGAGCAGCGTGTCTGAGTTCCTCCTCCTGGGCCTGCCCATCCAGCTAGAGCAGCAGGGCTTGTTCTTTGCCCTGTTTCTGGGCATGTACCTGACCACAGTGCTGGGGAACCTGCTCATCATCCTGCTCATCAGGCTGGACTCTCGCCTCCACACCCCCATGTACTTCTTCCTCAGCCACTTGGCCTTCTCCGACATTTCCCTTTCATCTGTAACGGTTCCAAATATGCTCAGGAATATGAAGACTCAACAACAATCTATCCCCTATATGAGGTGCATTTCTCAGATGTATTTTTTCTTGGTATTTGCTTGTCTTGACCATTTCCTTCTTGCAGTGATGGCATATGACAGGTATGTGGCCATCTGTCAGCCACTCCACTACACCACCATCATGAGGCAAGAGCTGTGTGTCTCATTAGTAGCTGGGTCTTGGTTCCTCTCTTGTGCCCATGCCCTGTTGCACACCCTCCTCTTGATCCAACTGTCCTTCTGTGCTGACAATACCATCCCCCACTTCTTCTGTGACCTCCCTGCGCTCCTGAAGATGAGCTGCTCAGACATCTCCATTAATGAGATGATCATCTTCACTGAGGGAGGAACACTTTTCTTCTTGCCCTTGAGTAGCATCTTGGGGTCATATATCCGTATAGGGACCACCGTCCTGAGGGTCCCCTCCACCAAAAGACTCTTTAAAGTCTTTTCTACCTGTGGCTCTCATCTCTTTGTGGTGTCTTTATACTACGGGGCACTTGCAGGTGTTTATTTTTTGTCTTCGTCATGGGGCTCCAATGACAAGGATATCATTGCTTCGGTCATGTATACAATAGCTACCCCCATGCTGAACCCCTTCATCTATAGTCTGAGGAACAGAGATATAAAACAGGCCCTAGAAATATTTGCCAATGGGATACCTTCTTTATGTGACATTCACTAAATCATCTTATTGCAGTCACAAGCACAGTGAGATGTATCTCCTAAAATTGTTGTGTGGTTGACAATTCCATATAACTTGAAATAATATGCATCCTGTTGTCATGTATAGTGTTGTTACCATGTTAATTATGTCAAGTTTGCTACTTGGATTGTTAAATATTCTTTATTTGTAATTATTTTTTTCTGGTTATTCATCTCAAAAGATGTATACAAAATCTTACACAAAACATGTCGTTCAATAACAATTTTAGATTTATCTTCTTCTCCTTTTAGATATGTCAGTTTTTAAGTATTTTTATGTATTTTTTATCCTACATTACTAATGACACACAGATCTGGCATCATGAACAGCTCCTGGTGGACTGAATCTTTTATTTTGTACCTTGCTGAAGCTGGCTTGCTTTGACTTTGAACCGGTTATGCACATTTCTTCCCAACTCCGTATTCTATGACACCATGTTGGTAGATTGAAATCTGCCATAATGGGAATTATGACACTATGGAAATTGGGAAATGCTATGAAGCAAGACTTTGTAAAGAAAAAAAAAAGACAGAGAGAGAAAGTCATTTTTTATGCATTTTGCAGCACATCACTGCATTTATAATTAGGAGATATTCCTCTGTCTCTAAAATGGCTCCTACCTTAATATCTCATCTACTTTTTTTGTGTGTGTGTGAGGAAGATTAGCCATGAGCTAACATCTGTTGCCAATCCTCCTCTTTTTGCTGAGGAAGATTGGCCCTGGGCTAGCATCCGTGCCCATCTTCCTCCACTTTACATGTGGGATGCCTGCTATAGTATGGTTTGATGAGCGGTGCACAGGTCTGCACCCGGGATCCGAACCTGTGAAACCCAGGCTGCTGAAGCAAAGAGTGCAAACTTAACCACTATGCAACCAGACTGGCTCCTCCTCTACTTCTTTTGATATTAGTATAGACATACCAGCTTTCTTTTGGTTAGTATTTACATGGAATTTATTTTCCATCACTGTACTTTAAACTTGTCTATGTCCTTATATTTGTGAGGTGTCCATTGTTAACAGTGTAAGTTGGATTTTGCTCTTTTTATGTAGATTGACAATCATTACATTTCTGGAGAATTTGATCTATTAATATCTAATGTCATCATGGTATATTTGAATCTATATTTTCGTATTATTACGTTTTTTATTTGAGACTTCTGTTTCATATTTCTTTTCTTGTTTCTTTCTACTTTTTATTATTTAAGTATGTATTTTATTATTCCATTCCCCATCTATCAACTTAATAATCATACATTATTATTTCACTATTTGTTTCTATGCTTTATGTTGTGATTACTACTTACTTTCTCCTTAAAATATTTTCATTGTACTAAAATATACATAACATGAAATTAACATTTTAACGATTTGAGGTATACTTTTTGGTGGCATTTCGTTTGTTCCCTTACCACAATCTCAATCAAGGACTCCAAAAAGAAATCCTATGGAACATCAACGCAATTGAGTACTTTGCAGATGTGAAAAAATAATAACAAAGATATCTATGACTCAATATAGAGAGATTTCCAGGATATATTGCTAAATGGAAAAAAAAAACAATGTGAGGGTATTATGCAAAGTGAAATAAGTCAGAGGCAGAAGGTCAAATACCGTATGATTTCCTTCATTAAGTAGTAGATAATAACAACAATAAACAAACACATAGAGACAGAGATTGGATTGGTGGTTACCAGAGGGGAAGGGGGGAAGGAGGAGGGAGAAAGGGATAATTCGGCACATGTGTGTGGTGATGGGTTGTAATTAGTATTTGGGTGGTGAACATGATGTAATCTATGCAGAAATAGAAGTATAATGATGTACGCCTGAAATTTATACAACGTTATAAACCAATGTTACTGCAATAAACAAACAAACAAAAAAAACAGTATGTAAAAAAGCATTTATACCATGCTATTTTTTGTGTAAAAGTGAAGGGGAAATGAAATATACATGTATCTTCCCATTTGAGCAAAAAGAAACCAAGAAGAATAAATCAGAAACCAAGGAGATTGCTTACCTACAGGAAATAGGTGGGAATGGGGTAGAAAAGATTGGGAGATAAGTATATTTATTTGAATAATTTTGAATATATTATCTTTTACCTACTAAAAAATGAATGGAAGAGGGTGTGGAATAAAGCAAAGTCAAATAAAACAAAACAAATCTAACTATATATCAAATTACCACAGTAATTAGACTGAAGGGGAACATGAAATAACTAACCTAAGTAATTCTTGAATGCAGATTTTATCTATACACTTTCACAATAAAAAAAACCATAAACAAAGTTTTTGAACAGTAATTAGTTTGTCATTAACAGTGGCATGAGTTCAAGATTCTGAAATTACTTAATATGTATTCAAATATTCAGCAAATAAATAAACATTTTGTGGAAAAGGGAATGACTCCTCACTATCAAGGTGTTGATGCAAATAATCAATAGTCATTCTACAGTAAAGAAAAGAAGAGAGTTTTATTGGAGCCAAACTGAAGACTGTAGCTCTAGAGTAGCACCTCTCACAGGGGAAGAAGGCACTCTGGTGAAGAGCAATTTTCAGCCCAGTTATATACCATTTCCAATTGAAGATACATACATCAAGCATCAGGGGGTACACTCCTTCAAGGTTTCAAGAAGATGATCATTACATATTAGCAGATACACAGCAGGTCAACATGAGCCTGGTGTCACAGAAAAGGAGACATTAATTCTTATCTTTACAGAGTACTGCCATCATAAGAAGGGAGGCATTAATTCTTATCTTCAAAGAGTATATTCTTAATTTATGGTAATGATTAAAGCAGATGACAGTGTATGTCTGACAGACTGTTAAGTCAGGCTTCTTTAGTTCAAATAAAATTCAGGCCAAACCAAGTTCAAACCAAAATGACTTCCCCATATGCTTTAATATATAAAAATTTCCATATCATTTCCTCCTTTTGATTATTAATCTTTCTATAGAAAACATTGATGATTAAATATTGTCACTCAATGCCAGGGTGGTTGCTTCCTGCCCTGGGTCCATCATGTCCCTGCAGCTGGGCTTTATTTCAATTGATCTACCCAGTAATCCACACTGGGGGGAAATAGCTGAATATAATTGACAATCACAGAGGTACAGACTGACAGGGGAAGTAATTTCATAGGTTATATATATTTTCAACTAGGTTGAATTGTTGCACAAACATTGTAAGTGTGATTTTGTATGACTCTTTCTGATTACATTGTTTGTAGCATCTATAGAACAGGCTTAATAACAATGATAATAAACCAATCACAGTATTTAAAGTAGCCAATGTGAAGTAGACACGGATTGAAAGAGACAAGAGAAGAAACCAAAGCATCCGTTACACGTATCTTGGTAATCTTGTACTAAATTATTTGTTTGCCTCCTTTATCCACTGTTATGTGTATTTTATAATAAGTTTGGGAAGACTGGTTTAATATAGTAACAACTTCTTCAGTTGTCACTTGTAAAGATTTTTCAGGCCAGTTAGATTTCATTGAAATTACATCTTATAATGGATATAGTTCTAATTCCCAAAACATTTCATCATCAATATCAATATTAGTATATGTCTTATTATCTTAGGCAGTTCTATTTGACTAGCAAAGCTGGTATTACACCATATAGCAGTAAAATTACAATAAAAAGTTCTTTGATTACAATACAAGTCAGAAAGTATGAAACAGGTATTTTATAAACTTTCTCAACAAAATTTTGACTTCACCCACATACCGTATATTTGTTTGCATAGGTGTGCTTGTTATAGGCCAATTAGAGGAAAATTCAAGGTTCTACTGCTGTTTGGGGGCATAGCCACATAGCTTGTCGAAATTCACAGATTTGAGTGGTTATAGGAGTCTAGTAAAAATTATTTGATAATAAGGCCCATCTCCCACCGGAAGGGAGAATTCTGGTAGAATTTAAAGTGGTTTCTATTCCTACTACTGGAACAACATCATAGGTGTAACTTGTTATAAGTTTAGGTACCAAAGCTGTGATTTAACACTTATGTGAATTACAGGATCCTATAAATTTGAATCCAGGAAACTTCTTTATCTTGATGATAGGCTTGAGTATAAGACATTAGAGACTTACAGTAGCTGGTCATACTAGCAAAAGACAACAAGGGATCACAGAAGTTTGTGTAGCAGCAGACACTGATCTGCCAGTGACCATCCCATGTTGGGTCAGTTCATGTTTTCCAAATGGGGCACAACAAGTAGTTGGCAAGACCAAAGGCGATATCTTAGTCCAGGGGAGTCCAGTCTAAAGATATATAACAAAATGTCAAAGACAATTAACAGTACTAGAATCCAACGTCTACAAAGGTGCAACATGATTTTCTCTCCAAAATTATCCTGATTTTTACCAAAGATAATCACAGTATAACTAATGTGTTTACATTAAAAACTTGGCCTGGGGGCCGGCCTGGTGGTGTAGTGGTTAAGTTCACGCACTCCACTTCGGCAGCCCCGGGGTTTGCAGGTTCAAATCCCAGACGTGGACATATGCACGGCTCATCAAGTCATGTGTGGCCATGTCCCACACACAAAATAGAGGAAGATGGGCACAGATGTTAGCTCAGGGCTAATCTTCCTCAGCAAAAAGAGGAGGATTGGCAACAGGTGTTATCTTAGAGCCAATCTTCCTCACCAAAAAAAAAAAAAAAAGAAAAGAAAAGAAAAGAAAACTTGCCCTGATTATTTATATAAGTGAAAACAAGAATATTCACTCAGAGGTTCTGAATTCCAGAGGGATCAGGAAGGGAGAAAAAGAAATATTTCATCTTTGTTTACAAAGGCATGTATTACCAAATTATTGATGTCTTAAGAGAAAAGATTTCTTTAAACATGGAAAAACAAAACATTAGAGAATTCTCCTTGGTTTATGTAGTCCTATGTTATTAATATTTGATCTTGATCTTTTGTTAGCAGTTTTATGAAGCCAACAGTTTGTCCATTAGAGTTCTGTAA